CTGCTGTGATGCAGACACAGCATCCTTTGCCGAGCCCACAGGCAGTCCTATAGCTCAGACTGGGTGGAGAGGCCAGGGCCTGTGTCACTGGCTAGGGGAGGTCCCAGTTGCTCTGCGCAGCAACTCTGTAATCACGGGGGGGGGGGTGGATAATTGGAGGCCAGGTGCTGACAGCCTGTCAGTAGCAGGGGCAGCAAATCCTCTACCATGGGGGCTAAGTGGCATGGCAGTGCTCACCACAGGGAGAGACTGATGACTCCTGGGCGAGGAGTGGGAAATACACATTCTTGAGGTAAGGAAGGCTGAAGTCTAGAGTACTAACCAGGGTCAGCATGTCTGGGTGAATACGTAGCTTCTTTTATTGTGACCTAAAGAAGAAGGGGTGGGAGCAGGCACCAGCCAATGTGGAACACTATCCATGCTCTCAAAGAACCTTTGAGAAATGCTTTTATACCACAGAAGGTTAAGAAATGCTATGACCCCAGCAGTCTGGAGGCTGAGGCAGAGGGATCACCTCCATTCAAGACTAGCCTGTACTACCTAGTGAGATGACCTCTCTTTTTTATATTAGTTTTATTGAGAAAGAAGTAGCAATGAGACAGTTTCAAAACAGGTTAGTAGGATTGTTACAATAATTAATACATTGCATGTTGTTGTCATCATAGTAGTTATTCATAGTATAATATGCAGACATGATATCTTGTCTAAACAGTATTAGTTCAAAACTTTCTTCTCATTGAACTAAGAGAAAGTAGCTGTATATCTATGCTAACTATTTTATATATACATATATATTTTTTCACTACAAAATGTTCCTTCATTTATATCCCCCTCTTTTGTCTACTTTTGTCAGAGATGGGTATTCCATTGACATTCATAAATTGTAGGTGCATGAATTTAGCTAAGTAATCCAATATAGTCCAGTAGTCCATAATAGTAGTGGGTTATCCATAGGACTGGCAATGTCAGAAGTTGTTGACTTGAGCCTTTTACAGCTCAGCATATTAATATGGCTTTACTTTTCATACCTTGTTTTTATACTTTTCTGCTGGAAGGTTAAGACCAAGATAAAGCAAGACCTATGTAACAAGTAATGTTAACTTTTGTATCTGATAAGGTCAGTCATTGTCCCCTCAGGATTTATCCTGTAGCCCTGTACCACCCTTTGTAGATCCTTTGTCAGTGTCAACCATGAGGATGAGTCACGGCCATTGCTTGACCAATTTGGTCTCTGTGAAAGCCTGAGAGAATGTTTTCTCTCCATGTGACTCTCCTTAGGCACACTCTACATCGTTGATCACTTTCCTGTATAGCCCCACAAGAGATAACTCTCATAAGATACTTGCTTGAGACCTTGGAAAAGAGGGGCTACAGTGCATCAATCTTCTGCACCATATGTTTCCTTCCATCCACTCAGCATTTAAGGTTGGGAAAGCTGAAGAAAGAATTGGCCTGGATGATTTCTGTCACTAGGACAGAACAATAGTGGAGAGGGTCTGAAAGTACTTGTAGAAGAGGAGAAATGGAGGATCACTGTTGCACGTGGTAGAGGCAAGGAAGGAATATGCAACTTGTCCAAGATCAGACAGACAGGTGTTTGTGTGTCTGAGCCCAAGTCAAAAAAGTAATGCAGCTCTCACATAGCAGGCCACAGCACCCTTCTTCCAAGTGGGTAATTCCAGGAGAGTATAATAAAAAGAACTATTTACCGAAATGCTGAAGGAGGGAGCACATGGCAGCAGAGCCACAGTGGTGACTCTGGCAAGAGGACAAGTTGACTGGATCTTCTGTAGTTATGACTACCAGAGGAGAGAAGAGACTAGCCTTGATGTCCTGTCAGGGACATCATGACTAGAGCAGAAGCTCCTGCAACGCACTGCATCATGGGCATAAACCATTCTCTCCAGGCTCCCCAAATTCTCATTCCCTCTTCATTCTCCAGGGGCTAAGGGAACTTCCGTTCCCAGAGAAGGGTGCAACGTGGAGGAAAGATTTAGAACAGGCTCACAAATGTGCTCCTCATAACACAAGTCATCAACCCCAGCTGGGATGAAACTTCTGAAAATAAGAACAAGCATCTCTCTCCTGAAGTGGCGTAGGTATTCTCAGGGCAGGCAAAGCTTACGGTGCTGATCCACTACACATAGTCTCAGAAGGGTGGAGGAGCCAGCTGGGTCTGATTCATGCCAGCCAAGTTCATGGCAGAAAGCAGCTTTCCTATCAGGGAAACTTTCCAATCACTGTTAACAAAGAATTTCTAATCCCGGTTGTGTGGTCCACCAGGGGCAGCCATGAAGCTGAGCAAGTGCTCACTGTGGGTCTGTGGATCCTACTATACAGAAAGACTGTAGCAGGAGCAGGAGTCCAAGCCAAAGGAAAAGCCCCCTTGCAGTGTGTTGCAGGAGCTTCTTCTGCTCTGGTCCCTGCCACCTCACAGCTGCTGGGAGGCCCGAGCCAGGGCGCTCCCTTGCTGCGGGGTGGGCATTGAGCCTTGACCCACGCACTGCCTTTCTCTTCCCCATAGTGCTAAGCAGGGCCCTGTTGCCTCAGGTCTGCTAACTCCTATGAGCCGGCTGGTTGGCTGGTGCTGGCTGGGGAACGACAGGAGTGTACAGGTCCTTGTGGTAGACTTGGCCTCTGGGCTGCCGGGTGAGGAAATGCTGCTTTGCATCCTGCGGAGACCAAAGGTGGGACACGAACTGGGAAGGTGGCTAGTCTCCAGGCAGAGCTGGGATCTGGCTGAGCAGCTGCTGGGGGCAATCACCCAGAGCTTGGCATGAAGAAACTTCAAGTGGAACATAGTGCTCGGGGATCTCTGGCTCAAAACTGTCATCTTACAGATGTGAAACTTTAGGGACAGAAAGTGACCCAATTGATTGCAGCCCCACACAGTTTGTTAAAAGGTCCTGGAGTGTAGTGGGGTGAGAGCTGCCTCCCGGATTGGAACCCTCAGAGGCCCTAGGTGCACACCCTCATTTGATAATCCTCAATAAACAACGTATACAGCACAAATCTGACAGGTGGACTGAAATTTTCCAGATTTTTTAAGTGCAAAAAGTTGAAGTTTTCTAAAGGTGAATTATTCTTTCAGCTTTGGTGATGGCGCTTTGGGGATTCCCAGGAGAGCTCGCGCTGCCCAGGAACAGTTAAGGGCAGAGGCTTACGGTCAGGTTGGCCGCCAGCTTTCCCCAGCTTGAGCCTTGGGTCTGAATCTGCTCTATAGGACCCTGGGTGACACCGCGTTTGCCAAGTGCTTCCTCAGAAGGGTCGCGGCACTTGGAGCTCCCATGATGACCAAGGGTCACCTCCCCGTCCCGGTTCTACTCTGGCCCCGCTGCCCAGGCGCCTGCCCACCCACCCACGGACTGCGAAGGCCGGGCAGGCAGCGTTGTGCACACGCACCACGAATAGCCTCCATTGTTCCGGGCAGGGAGGATTGAATTGCGCGGGGTGGGCCCAGGATGCGATTTAGCTCTAGGGTGCAGGGCTCTGCGCTGGGCCATTTCCGATGCCCATGTCTTTGCGCCCACTCCCTTTCTTCCTCCACCCACGGAGAAAAAAGAAACCCTAAATATAGCCGGTGGCCTAGATGTGTAATCGCTCACTTATTTGCTAACCCAAATGAGAGATCATTTTTATTAATACCCACTCAGGCCTGAAGTTAGCCAGTTGGAAGCTACTTTTCGTGGAACGCATCAATCAGAAACCTCACGTCCTACCTAAGTAGTGTGAATTACTGGGACACTCTTCGGAGACGCTAATATTTTTCTTCTCACATTTCAGGACAAAAAAAGTGGAGCTGGTGCTCCGAAATATATACGCTTTCAGGTTTTAGGAGCTCAACAATAATTAATAATTAAATGCATGAAAGTTCAACATTAATTAACAAATTGATTAAATGCTTTAAAAATGAAGGGTAATTAGATCATTTTGGAAGAACAAACAAAGTGGCCCGGTGAGAGGGGAAACAAAAGCTAGGAAGAAGTTCTTGCTGTGAATATAAAAGAGGGGGGAAAAATCTATTCCTCTACCCAAATAAATGATTTCTCTCACAATAACTTTGTAGGAAAAAAATAATTGAAAACAAAAACATTGTGGGAAAATGTCTTGAGCCTGCAGTCGTTACGAGGAGGAGATCGCTTGGTGCGCAACGCAAGCGCGTGGTCCCGGGGGACCCTTGCGCTATAGGAGTCCTCACGGGTCAACGTGTTGCAGGGGCGCATTTCCGAACTCGAGTTGCTAAAGTCAAATAGGCTTTTTCATCTGGGTCCCGAGAGCAGGGAACCTAAGTTGAGGCGAGGAGACATTGAGGACAGTTACTCCTTAAGGGAGAGTGTGCCGGCCGCCTCTGCCTTCTAGGGATCACAGCGCACCTCAGTTCCGCTGCGCCCGAGTGCGGGAACAATGAAATCCGGCGTGGGCGGTGGCCCCGGTTGAGTCACCTTGTGGGCGACATTCAGCCACCTGGGCCACGCTGGGGTTAGAGTGGAAAGAAACATTCTGTCCCGGAACCACACTCAGCCAGGCATTGGAGGCCCGCAGGCCCCACAGAGAGTGGGTTGCAGTCATCAAAAACTTTGTAAACTCGACGGGAATGAACTAGAACTGAACTCCTGAATTTCCTAATTCTAAATGCCTGGCTGGAAAAGGAATGTGGCAGTGTGCAGGAGTGTGCAGCCCGGCCACGCTTGCAGGGGCAGAGCAGTTACACTCACTTAGAAGGCCCATTTCTCTGCCCCCGCCCTGCCCGATCCTCTTTCCGAAGACAACGCGGGAGGGCGGCGCTGAGTGGACTTGGACTATTAAACAGTGCAACTTACTTAACCGTCATGGATTTACTTCAAATTGACTTTTAAGTTAAAAAAAAATGGATAGTGAAAAACGACACCCAATAATCAGTGTCACCAATTCATAACCCAAACTCCTCTTGGAGGTGGATATTTGCTTTACTATTCTTTTTTTCTTCTTCTTTTTCTTCCTCTTCTTCAGGGAAAGGGAGAGAGAGAACATTTTCTCCTAAGTTCTCCGGCAAGCTCATATCCTAATAAAACTTCCTAGACGAGACTCACACCACATTTTGACTAGGAAACTTAAAAAAAAAAAAATCAGACTGTCATCTTCCTGTTACTTGTTCCCTTTCTCCGGAACGCTCCCATCCCCCAACCTTTTCTGGGAAGTTTGCACGCTGAAAAGTTTTCTTGAGACAGTTTACGCCATCTCACTTAACCAGTAGGATGGGGACGATCAACCTTGGCAAAGGAGGAAAAAAAAAACGAGGGTGGGGGCGGGAGGTGCTAGCGAGTTCCAGACAGGCTTTTCCTTTGAACTTCCAAATCGGCATCCGTCCCGGAAGTAGCCCCCTCTGAGTATCTGCGTGGGACCTCCGGGTTTGGGGATTTGGGTACATCTCCAGGCGGCTACCACCCACTTGCTACTATGCAACATCACGAGCCCGCCTGAGACACATCTGGATGGAGGCTCGCGTCCCAGTTTGTGGGCCACTGCCGCCAAGGCTGGCTCCCGGGAGTGAGTGCGGAAATGCGAGCGGGCGCGGAAGCGCACCGCTCGGAGGAGTTGGACCTCTCCCAGTTTACGGTCACTCCAACATCTTTCTCACCGTCGGCTACTGTCACCAGTCTCTGGCTCCTCCTCCCTGAAGCCGCCCATTAGGTCTTACAGCCAATAGAAACTCCCGGCCTCTTTCCACCGCCCCGAACCCTTTCCACACCCCCACGTTCCGAGAGAAGATTGGCTGTTTCGCCCTCCGCGAGGCACCTACTTCTGCAAGGCACTCTCGGCTTCTGGTAGGCAGAGCGGCGCGTCACTCCGCAAGGCCGGGCCCGCCCCCTCCACCTCAGTTCAGGCTCCCTTCCTGCGCAGTTCTCCACCGCAGCCTCTGCAGGGAAGAGCCGGGCTACTCTCGAGGCTCAGTGGTCGGACTGCGAGGTGCGAGCCCCGGCGAGCCACCGTGCGCACCGCCCCGAGTGGCCAACAAGCGGGAGCGCGGCGTCCTTCTCTCCTCTCCCGAGCAGTCCCTGTGCCAATAGTTACCATTGAACCGACTTTCCGTTCCAGTTGCGGCTTCTCCCGGGCAACATGTCAAGAGCCGCCGCCGCTCCAGCTGCCGCCGCCACCTGGGGAAGAGCAGCCGCAGGGGCGGCCGCGGGCGAGCGGGGTCAATAAACCGAGTCACCCGGACATCCAGCGGGCCGAGGGACAATCTCCGTGCTCACTGCTCCGGCGGCCCGAGCTATGTGTTGAGCCATGCCCCTGGGCGCGCCCACGGGCCGCGCATGGGGCAGCGCTTGAGCGGTGGCCGGCCCTGCCTCGATGTTCCGGGTCGGCTCCTGCCGCAGCCACCGACGCCCCCGTCGCCGGTGAGGAGGAAGCTCGCGCTGCTCTTCGCGATGCTCTGCGTCTGGCTGTACATGTTCCTGTACTCCTGCGCCGGCTCCTGCGCCGCGGCGCCGGGGCTCTTGATGCTGGGCTCGGGGTCTCGCGCCGCGCACGCCCCGCCAGCCCTGGCCACGGTTTCGAATGGGACGCCCTCCAGGTTTCCTTTCCGGGCGTTGCCGGCCACGGCACTGGCTGCCGGCAAGGACATGGCAGAAGGCGCCGCGAGCCAGGAGGAGCAGAGTCCCGAGGCGCCGGACTCTCCTAGTCCCATCTCCAGCTTCTTTAGTGGGTCTGGGAGCAAGCAGCTGCCGCAGGCCATCATCATTGGCGTGAAGAAGGGCGGCACGCGGGCGCTGCTGGAGTTCCTGCGCGTGCACCCCGACGTGCGCGCCGTGGGCGCAGAACCCCACTTCTTTGACCGCAGCTACGACAAGGGCCTCGCCTGGTACCGGTGAGTCTTCTCTATCGGGGCGGGGCCTCAGACACGACCCAGACTCTGTGCAGAGGGAGACTTTACATGTGTCGGGGAAGTGGCAGGGGTACCCTTTCGGACTACCGGGGGTGGGGAGAGACGAAGGAACTACTGCGCGGAAGCGCTGGCAGCAACGGAATCCCGCCCTCGCGCGGTTCCCGGTGCGCCCAGCCGGATTCTGGCTGCAACCTAGACAAACTTTTCCCGGAGCGCTGGCGGCTCCGTGGTGCGCAGTGCTGCCCTCCAGTTAATCCAGCGGCCTCGCCTGGGCAGCGTCTGCGGAAGTGCTTGAGGAAGCAGTGTGCCCCCCGCCGTGGCGATGTCCCGCGCGGATCATTCCAGGGTTGCCCGTGTTTTATTTTTCTTATCGGAACCCGGGACATTGGAAAGAGTATTCTGCGCCTCTCTGGTCGCAGTCCCCTCTTCAGACCAACTTCTAGAACAGCTTCTGCTCCCCAGATGGGCAAGGGTGGGGGTAGGAACAAGGGCGTTCTGCCACAGCTGCGGAGAATCTGTGAACTTTTTTTGTTGCAGCCCTAGTCGCTGGAACCCGAAGGGGTTCAGACAGCTTTGCTCAGAGCCGCTTGGGCTAGAGGGCGAGCTAGGCGGGCGGCTCAGCGCCTCCACCGGCTGTGGAGCGTGGAGCGGTGCTGGTCCCTGTCGGGCAAAGGCGCGCACTGCAGCACACAGTTGTAACGCGCGCAGTTTTGAAGGCTCCCTGGCGTCGGTGCGCACTGCCTGCGTCTTTCCGCCTCCCAGTCCTCGGTGCCGGGAGAACTAGAACTCGAGCCACCGCGCGCTCAGTATACTCGAGATGCAAAGAATATTCCGAGCCGTTTGACTGAGATATGAGGACGGTTTCAAGGCGTCGGCTTCGGAAATTCTCTTCTTAAGTCGGGCTGTGAATCCTGTCCCAAGGAGGCAGCCCGAATGGGATCACCAGCTCTACTTCCCTGGGGCTACTTGTCTTTGGGCTGAGCAGTTAGTTGGGAGGGGGTTGAGATTCGTGCCTCGCCTGTCCAGGCCCTAGATACTAGACCCTGTCTCACTTTGCTGGTTATCACGTCTAGCCTCGTCCACATGATTAGCTCTAGTCCCCCGAACTTTTCTAGGCCAGTTAGCTTCAGAGAGACATTAGAGTTCTAAAAACAAAGGCGGAGAAGCAAACCGAACCCTAACCCCCACCCGTCTCCCCTCAACTTGCTGGATCCACATGGGGTGGAGAATCAAAGTACAAAAGGGACTACTGACCCAACGGATTAAAACAGCTCTTTTCCCAGCCTCGCCCTCCCAGAATGCTTTGTCTTTAATGTTTGTATTATTGTCGGGAGTTGCCCAAGTCTCGAGGGTTAGCCAGCCGTGACAGCCACCCTTCTCACCATGTCGCCACCCTTCTCACCATTCCCAGGACGCCATTGATTAAAAACGCAAGGGCTCTGGAATCTGACGTCTGGATTTATGTCCTGGCTCAGAGGTGAGCCAGGGCGCTCTCGTTTGTGCAGGGAGAAATCAGTGGCAGGGCTGAGAAGGGTGAAGGCATGGTGCAGTCAGGTGCAGGCACATGGGGCCTCCCTAATTGTCAGCTGCGGCCTTTGATTGTATTGATGTACTTTCACCCCACCTAACCGCCTGCTGGGGCAAGGCCTCTGAGGGTTGAGTGGCAGGCCATAACTAGAGCCCATCCAGGAGGTACCCGACAGAGCCCGAGGAAGCTTAGGATTTTGTGAGATCGGAAACGCTTGGGGCCGGCTTGGGAGGACCTGGCAGGAAAATAAGCGAACCGTTCTTGTCAAGAGGTTTTAGAAGCACCTGGGACAAGTTTTGGAAATCCCCGCAGGAAGATTCCCGCAGTCGCTTAGGTGGATGCCCACCGCCTGCCACGTTCCTTTTGATTGACTGTGAGACAGGGAAAGAAGCCGATGATGCAAACTCTTTGCGGTGCGCCTGAGGCGGCGAGCGCAGCTAGAGAGCTCCGATCGGATTCGCGCAGCCGGCGGCGTCTGCCGGCGGCGGGACAGACCGAGGGGGCTCGGTCGGGGAATGCGGTACCAGATCCTCGCATCCTTCCGTGCCTGTTCTCTGAATTCACCGTAGGGAGTGGGAGGCACAGAGCACTGGTGACGAGCCGGGAGGAGCCAAGTATTAATTTGGCAAGTGCCCTAAGAGATGCATCCTCTGACTGCCATCGCACCGCGTGGTGGGATCGCAGTGTCAGGGGATACTTTTAAGAAAGAAACCACTTTAAATGTCATCTGCCTAATTAAAAGTTTAATTTACAATATTCCCAATATCTGAGCGAAATGTTTGAACTCCATATTTATTTTGAAAGCGGCCGTTTTAACTTTAAACTGAATAAGCCATGGAAACGTCCGTCCCAGACAGATTTGGCTAAAATCCGGTGTCCAGGGTTCACCCCTGGCCTAAGCTGGAGTTCACTCTACTCGAAAAACCCTTGCATGGAGTTAAGCTCTGAGGCATCTGCTGCCGTGTGGTAAGGTCAGGCAGCCAACTGGAGAGGAGTATAAATTGTAATTGATGCAAATCAGAAACAGGTTAAAGCAAGTTTTCAAAAGCAGAACATTAAAAGAGGAGACATTTATTGGCATTTAAGAAGAAACAAAAACCTATGGCTATGGATGATTGAGTCTGAGGGTCACCAAGTAATCTGCTGGAGAACAGGTCTGGCTGTGCCTGAACAAGTCCTTAATAGGTTTAATGGGTTGACACAGCCCTACCAGGGGCCTAAGCAGTAGCCCAGGGCCTGGGCAGATTTGCATGACCCCTTGGAATCTGACGGTGGCTCCTTCCACTTGTCCTAATTCCACAGCTTTCTGCTCTTGGGGGGCAAGGAGGGGAGTGTTCCTGGTAGGATGTAGACGCAGAGGGGGCAGCGCTGAGTTAAACCGCCATTATCCACCAGAGAGAGCCTGCTGCTGCAGAAACTGGGCTAGCTGCTGCTGTCCACCTGCCCTGGGGCCTGAGTTTGTTTCAGTTTGTGATTAAGATTCTTCTGGGTTTGCTTTTCCAGTTCATTATCCAGCTCTCTCCAGTCAGCCTCCCCAACTGAGCAAGTGCTGAATAAGACCCCACAAAGTGCCTTGTGGAGTGCTCTGTTGAAACTGGCCTTTTGCTCTTGGTCTCTGGGTGTGGTGGTGAAGTCTGAGAAAATAAGGCCTGGGGTTCTGTGAACTTAAATGCAAAGGTGGAGAAGACAGCCACTCTGGACCTTTAATTTTGGCATATTGATTTAATATTCAGATGGTCAAACATCAAGTAGGCAATTTTTAAAATTTCTCTTATTTGCCTTAAGTTTCGATCGATTTTTATAAATGTTAATGACCTCATTATGGGGAGTAAATTGCTCCAATATTGTATGATTTGCATTTGTTACAAATATTCTTTAGATTGTGTAGTGGCAGAAACTCCTTTCCTATCCTGACTCCCCTCTCCATTTTCAGTTATACAAAATAAGATGATACTTGAATGATGTGGCTAACAGGAGAGAGAGAGAGAGAGAGAGAGAGAGAGAGAGAGAGAGAGAGAGAGATTTAACCACCTTGGTAGCTAACACTAAATTTTTTTTCAGTGTGCCTTGCACTGTCTCAAATTTTAGAGGATTAGCAAATTTAATCCTCATCACAGTCCTGTGCAGTGGGTGCCTTTACAGATGAGGAAACCCTGGGACTGAGGTGAAACAACTTGTCCAGCCCTTCACAGCTGGAAAGAGGATGAGCTAATCTGTCACACCAGGCAGCCTTGCTCCAGAGCTCAGTCTGGGGCTCATTTCCCTCACTCACATGAGTGAGGTTGGGTATCTGTGATGGAGCTTTAGGTGGTATTTGTTTTAAGAGACTTAGATAGTTTTCTGAGTGCTTCCATCAACCACACTGTAGATGGCTCATTTGAAAAGAAGTTCAGTTTTCAAACAGGCTAGCTAATAATATCCCAAGTTGGTCTAGAAGCAGATTGGAGGCCATGGTGGTGTTTTTATTTCTTTGCACAGGACAGCTAGAATCAAAGGTATCATTAAAATGACAAAAATATCCCTCAACTATGAGAAAACATGCAGATTGTCCCTCTTGAGAAGTAGACTTAGTCTCTGTTTGCTCTTTCCCAGGCTGGGAAGTGTAAACTGTAGGGTTAAATGACATCTTCTAAAACTCCTTGAAACCACTCTATTCCTTTAAAAAAGAGTGTCCTCAAATCAATGCAAGTCATTAACTTGTATTTATTAACCAGAAGACAATGATAGTTAACACTTTGAACAGATTTCCTTAGAATGGGCTCTCTTGAAAGCTAATAGCTAAACATAGCAGTTTCCCTCGGCATTTTTAATTTAACAAAAGCTGAGAAAATTAATCCCCCCTTTCCTGAGTCTTTTCCTAAAACTTGGTGGCCAAGTCTGTTTCTATCTCCATGGAAGGAAATCCAAGATGAGATCTGACTGGGGATAATTCATTTTGAAATAACTGGACTTTCAGTCCTAGAATTTAGACCAATTATGCAGCTCCCTTCCACACTGCTGGGTAAAGATCAGAAATCTACATTTATATGCAACAATTTGAAATACAAACCATCATGTTACAAAGCTGTCAAGATTTATTAGCAAGACAGTGTAGCATGTGTTGAACTCTGTTTTTAATTAGGCACCTAAATTAGACCATAAAATGGTTGATTAATCTTTTACAAGTTGAGGGAAAAATATAACATAAATTAACCTAATCATAAGTGTTTTCCCAGATGCTCTGAGTTAATAAAATAGTCAATATTTAATAGCAACCTATTTGTTTTAGATAAATAAAATGCTGTAATGTAGGAATTAAATCTCTTATCTTCCAAATGATATATTATTATTGAGCAGGTCTCTAAAATTTAGGTTGTAGCCCAGATCTGAAGAAAAATGTATTTAAAGATGTACTCCTACAATTTGAAATTAAATACTGACTAGAGTAGATTTTTGCTTTTCAAATAGAATCTGG